AATGAAAAAAACAATTACTGTGGCAAATTAACACAGCACTTCATTTTTAACATTGCATTATATTATCTTCTTTCTAAACAAAAATCAATACTCTGTCCTACAGAAAACAGAAGAAAATAAAGGACTATAACTTTACAATGTATGATAATACCATAAAAGCAAGAATAAGCAACTTATTATTATATCATATCAGTTATTTAAAAAAAAACAGAAAACACACACACACACACACACCTAACAAACTATCCAGAAGTCATGTAAAGACTCTTACTTGAAGCTGAAGAGTATGTCGAAGAATTGTTTCTTCTAAAGCATGGATCCACTTCTCTCGCTCATCAGCATCACGAGCTAGAATAAGAGATAATAAAAAATTAAAACTTTTGGGGCTGGGGTTGTAGCTCAGCAGTAGAGAGCTTTCTAGCACATGTGAGACCCTGGATTTGATCCTCAGCACCACATAAAAAAATAAAATAAAAATTAAAACTATAATTTCTACACTGTATCTCCATATTTGAAAGCAAACTTTTAAGACCATAATGCTAATAGAGGTGTTTAATTGTGCTACTCCCCTAACAGTGTTACCTTGATCTGTCTTATCTGAGTTTATAATATCTAATAGATCTAATATTTAAGCAGAAATGCAGTCTACTTGCAAAAAATATAACAAAGAGAAAACTGTGTTTAATAGATAGGTTACATAGATCAGACCAACCTTCCCACTGAGAACAACTAGAAAAACTATACTGACAATACTTAAAAAAAAAAAAACAAAAAACTGATTCCCACAAACAGATGAATGGATTTTTAAAATGTGGTCCATATGCACAATGGAATACTACTCAGTCATTAAAAAGACAATGAAATCCTATCATTTGCAACAATACAGATGGAACTGGAGATCATTATGTTAAGTCAGTCAGGCACAGAAAGACAAGTACCACATGATCTCACTCACGTATGAAATCTGAAAAAGATAATCTCATACAAGTTGAAAGTATAATAGGGTTACCTGTGGCTGGGAAAAATAAGGGGTGAAAGGGTTGGGAAAAAGTTAATCAATGGATACTAAGTTTTACTAAGATAGGAGCAAGAATTTCTGGTATGTTATTGTACAGCAGGGTGACTCTAGATAACAATAATATACATTTCAAAAAGGTAGAGAAAAGAATTCTAAAAGTGTTAGAAATGATAAATGCTTGAGAAGATATGCTTAACCTGTTTTAATGGTTATACAATGTAAACACATATCAAAACATTTCTTTAGTTCACTAATATGCACAATTTTTGTTTTTATGTGTCACTCAAAAAATAAATTGGATTTGGGGCTGGGGATGTGGCTCAAGCGGTAGCGCGCCCGTCTGGCATGCGTGCGGCCCGGGTTCAATCCTCAGCACCACATACAAACAAAGATGTTGTGTCTGCCGAAAACTAAGAAATAAAATATTAAAATAAAAATAAATAAATAAATAAATTGGATTTAAATGAAAAGGCAAAAAAATCTGGTCAAAGGCATCAGACACCAACAAGAATTATCAGGCTAAGATATGGGAAAGGACAGACATCTAGAAGATAAGCCTGGTACTTAGGGCCACTTTTTGCCTGGTGATATGAGAAATTTGAAGAAAAGAATCATTAGACTGGACAATGCACTTACAAGGCTCATTGTGTGTGGGCAGGAAATATGTGAGAACAGTACTTTCCGCTCAATCTGAAACTGTCCCAAAATAGTCTATTTTTAAAAAGAAGTCTTTTCAAACTGAAAGTTAGAGGCCAGGGCCCATCTACAGCAGGAATTCTGGTAAATGGCCAATGTTTTGATTGGGATCCTCAATGGCTGTGCCTTGAAATTAAGGGTAAAGCAAAACAACTGCTTGGTCATCAGGAGGGACTAGAAAAATCTTGTTGCCTGAATAGACTAAAATGACTCCCAGATTGTTAGTGACTCCAGGCACCTATTTAGTTAGCAAAAGCAAATTAAAATATTTTCTGTAAGAGATCAGATGAATTATATTTCTATAGATAATTTTTCAAATAAAATATCTACCACAGGGTCTGGAATTGTGGCTCAGTGGTATAGCACTCGCCTCGCATGTGCAAGGCCCTGTGTTCGATCCTCAGCACTACATAAAAATAAATGAATAAAATAAATGTATTGTGTCCAACTACAACTAAAAAATAAATATTTAAAAAAAACATGCCAAAAACATCAACAGAAGCTCCAGGTTATTTTATAAATGACAAAAATGGGCTAGGGTTGTAGCTCAGTAGTAGAGCGCTTGCTGCATGTGTGAAGAAGCCCTGGGTTCAATCCTCAGCACCGGATAAAAATGATAAATAAAATACTGGTATTGTGTCCATCTACAACTAATAATACATAAAAAATAAGTAAATGACAAAAATGTTTTGTTTCTCATTTAGATCTTTAAAATAACCAATTATAAATTCTAAATTAAAAATACAATAATCATGGGCGGTGGCTGTAGCTCAATGGCAGAGTGCATGCCTAGCATGTGTGAGACACTGGGTTCGATCCTCAGCACTGCATACCAATAAAATTAATGCATGCTGTCCATACACAACTACAAAAAAAAAAAAAATACAATAATCAAAATTAAGAACTCAATGGATTATTTTAACATCAAATACAATTCAAGAGATAGAGAACCAGAAGAGAGACTACAAGAAACTTACTGAAACAATAGACAGTGAATCAAAGGGATAGAAAACACAGAAGAAAGGGTAAAAGCAACACAGAGGGTAAGATACTATAACATGCATGTGACTGAAATACCAGAAGCAGACAAAAGAGAGCAGAGAACAGAAGTACCATTTGGCTGAGAATTTTCCAAAATTTATGAAAAACATTAAGCCACAGATTTCAGAAGTCCTAGAAACCCCAGATAGGTTATTCAATGTCACACTTTTTGTAATTACAAAATACTGAAAAATACTCTAAATACCCACACAGAGTATGCATTTAATAAACTTTGGAGTATTATGCAGGTTAAAAAAAAAGAATAGGGAAGATTCCATTAGAATAATTTGGAGTGATTTCCAGATACAATACTAAATGAAAAAAATCAAAGTGTGCAGCTTTAGTGTAAAAAATAAGGATACCAAAGAAAATACACATGTGTCTGCTTGTTCCTATAAAAGAAATACAAGAGTAAACAAGAAATTAGGCTGGATGTGGTAGTGCATGCCTGTAATCCCAGCAATTTGGGATTACAAATTCCAAAGACAGAAGGATTCTGAGACAGAAGGATTCTGAGAACGAACCAAGTTCAAGGCCAGCCTCAACAATTTAGTGAGGTCATAAGCGATTTGGTAAGGCCCTGGGGTAAAGCTCCTGGGTTCAATCCCCACTGTGTATGGGTGTGGGGGGGGGGGGGGAAGAGAAAAGAAATTGATTACATACAAGTCATTAGCAAGAAAGGATAGAAAACCAGAGATAATAGGAACAGGAGAGCAGGGTTAAGGAAGTAGAAACACTTTTCTGAATATATCTTTTGGTATATGTTCAAAATCTTAGAATCAGTAAGGTTTCACATACCCTCCCACAAATTAACTGATGAAAGCCAACCAGGAAGGTAAGAAGAGATGAAGAATAGAATGCAAAAACTAAAAAATTTACCTAAAAAATTAACCTAAAAATACAAATGAGTAAGACAACCACTCTGAAAGATGTGAAGAAGAAAATATTATGAACTAAATATCTAATAACAGCCTAACCCTAATTGGATGGTATTAGGAGATGGGGACTTTGGGAGGTATTTAGGTTATGAGGGTAGCACTCTCTTGAATGGTATTAGGGACCCCAGAAAGCTCTCACTCTTTCCACAATATGCACACAAGGGGAAATTGATTATCTGCAACTTGGAAGAGAGCCTTCACCAAAACCTAGCACACTGGCACCCCTATCTCAAACTTCCCAGCCTCCAGACTGAAAGAAATAAATATCTGCTATTTTAAGCTATGCAACCTATGATAATTTGTTATGTAGCAGCTAATGATAACTAAGACATGAAGCAGTTCTGAAAAACAGTATCTTGACTAGATATTGGAAGACTAAGGAATTGGAGCAAGGCTAGATGTGGTGGTGCACACCTGTAATTCCAATGATGTGGGAAGGTTAATCAGGAGGATCACCAAGTTTAGAGCCAGCCTCAACAACTTAGTGAGACCCTATCTCAAAATAAAAAATAAAAAGGACTCAGACTGAAACTCAGTTGTAAAGTGACTCTAGGTTCAATTCATAGTGCCAAAAAAAATTTTTTTTGAGTAAGAAAACAAAACAAAAAACAAATCCAGATAGCACTGAACTATAACCCATAGAATATAGCAAATATACATGAGACCAATACTCATATAAAAAAACTGAATATAGAAATGGGGAGAAGGGATATCTTTTCTTTCAAAGGAATTACAATTAATAAGGGAGAAAGAATGAGAGAAATTAAAAAATCACCACTAGACCAACATCACTGTAATAATTACTGCAGGCTGCTGCAGTCTGGCTGGGCACAATCAGGAGCCACTTGTCAAAAGAAACTAACTTTATTTTTAGAACCACACACGCCAAACAAAACAGCCTCTCAGGAAAAACCCTCAGAGCCTCAACTGCCACCACCGGCTTTCCACAAGCCTCTCTCTCCCACACAAGCTTCTCTCTACCTCCCACAATCCTCCTGCTCTTGAGGCCGATTGGCTGGGTCACGTGGGCGGAGCCAAAAAGGCCCCCAATGAGCAGCTCCGTGGTCTGAAAGGGCAGGGAAACAGCCCAATGAGCATCACCGCAGAGGAGCCAATCAGCTAGATGTTGCTGGGGCCGCTGTGAGCCAATCATCAGCCAGCAGCTGGTTGCTGGCAGCTGGAAGTTTGGCACTTCCTGTGGAGGCCGCAGCCGGCAGAGCGATCGCCGAGCAGCAGCCAGCCGAGCCTGCCACCGCCATGGGCCAGAACGACCTGATGGGCACAGCCCAGGACTTCGCCGACCAGCTGGCTGTGTCTTGGTGTTGAGCAGGAACTTCGTGCAGTAGCCTGCTTTGGGCTCTTGGGAATCATAGCACTGCAGACGATCGCCTACAGCATTCTGTGGGACTTGAAGTTTTTGATGAGGAACCTGGCCCTGTGAGGAGGTTTGTTGCTGCTCTTAGCAGAGTCCCGTTCGGAAGGGAAGAGCATGTTTGCAGGTGTCCCCACCATGCGTGAGAGCTCTCCCAAGCAGTACATGCAGCTTGGAGGCAGGGTCTTGCTGGTCCTGATGTTCATGACCCTCCTTCACTTTGATGCCAGCTTCTTTTCTATCATCCAGAACATCGTGGGCACAGCTCTGATGATCTTGGTGGCTGTTGGCTTTAAAACCAAGCTGGCGGCTTTGACTCTTGTTGTTTGGCTGTTTGCTATCAATGTGTATTTCAACGCCTTCTGGACCATTCCAGTCTATAAGCCCATGCATGACTTCCTGAAGTACGACTTCTTCCAGACCATGTCGGTGATTGGAGGCTTGCTCCTGGTGGTGGCTCTGGGCCCTGGGGGTGTTTCCATGGATGAAAAGAAGAAAGAGTGGTAACAGGCAGATCCCTACCCTACCTGGCCAAGACCTGTGCCCTTGTGGACTGGTTCAGGGTGGAGTCAACAAACTGCCAGCAGTTCCGTGTCCTCTTCCCTCCCCCCCCCTTGGTAAAGGCACCGATGTTTGAGAACTTTACTTGCAGACACCTGAAAATTGGGGGCAAAATCTGCTCTGGAACCACAGGCTGGTATCTGACCGCTGAGTGCTGCCCAGCTGCATGGCCAGTCACCTGGCCAGCCCCTGACATGAGCAGCTCAGTGGGTTGTGGCCTCAATCCTGTTTTCGAGTCTTTTTTGGGGTGAGGGACTTCAAGCTGTACTGTGAGCAGACATCTGTATCATTCAGAGCAGCCTCCCTCTTGTTTTTTAAGTTTACATTCTTAGCTCAAACTACTAAATGGTTTTGGATGCTGCAGCCAGACTTCACACCCCGAAGCTCCCTGGTTGAAACGCGAATCAGTGGCTTCAACATTGTTTCTGCCCCTGCATTGTAATACCTTATAATCAGCGAGGCTATTCAGAAGAGCCCCTCCGCAAGTGCTTAAAGGATGAAGACCCCTATGTTCGGAAAACAGCAGCAGTCTGTGTGGCAAAACACCATGATATCAATGCCCAGATGGTGGAAGATCAGGGATTTCTGGATTCTCTACGGGATCTCATAGCAGATTCAAATCCTATGCTCTCTCTTTCCAGATGTAGTGAACTGTATGCAGACTGATAACCTGGAACTGAAGAAACTTGTGTATCTCTACTTGATGAATTATGCCAAGAGTCAGCCAGACATGGCCATCATGGCTGTCAACAGCTTTGTGAAGGACTGTGAAGATCCCAATCCTCTGATTCGGGCCTTGGCAGTTAGGACCATGGGTTGCATCCGGGTGGACAAGATTACAGAATATCTCTGTGAGCCAATCATCAGCCGGCAGCTGGTTGCTGGCAGCTGGAAGTTTGCTGGGGCCCCTTCGGCTGTGGCTCTCAACATCAGGCAAGACCTACTAATGGCTAAAAGCAGTGGGAAAAGTTGGAGGTGGAAAGTTTGATGAAATTAGCATAGTTTTCAAGTATTTCTTTCAGGTATTACCAAATACAAAGGAAAAAGTAGTAATTTTACAATGGAGAAATCTGACAGACATCACTTTAATTGAATCATCAAAGTTAACATCACCAGAGCTGAGGGTATAGCTCAGTGGTACAGCACTTAACTAGCATGCATAAGGCCCAGGTTTCAATCCCCAGTACCACAAAAAAAAAGAAAAAGAAACTATTACCCCCCAAACACAAAGTTAACATTACCAGTGATAAGACTGGTTAACATCACATACCCCTCTCCCAATCTCAGAAGAAAATATTATTTCTATTGTATTCTTGCAAAAATACATCATCTCAATCTCATCATGAGAAAATATCTGGTAAACCAAAAATGAAAAACATTCTACAAAATAGTTGACCAATATTCATCTAACATGACAAGGTCATAAAAGATAAGAAAAAACTAAGGAACTGTCACAACTAAATGATTCTGTGGAACAGTAAGTCAAATCTTAAAACAGAAAGGGGACATTAGAAAATCTATATAATTTAGTTAAAAGCATTATATCAAATGGATCAATGGTCTAGTTCAGGATGTCAGAGTCTGAGCAGGATGAAGACAAAGCATATCTCAACAAGCAAAGGGAAGATCAAGCATGGAACATCAGAGCCCAAAGCAAAATGAAGACGGGCTCTACACGATGGCTAAGTCCAACATGGGAAGTCGAGCCCAAGAAAAGTGAAGGCGGTATGCACATTGTGGGGAACAAGGTCAGCCAGACACAGGTTGCCAAGGCCAAATAGAGTAAGGGTGGCATTCCAAAGAGAAGCAGATGATTAAAAAAAATGACATACTGAAGGACTGATCAAATAAATATAAATAACAAGGAAAAAGCATTTCTCATTTTGAAAAATGGAGTTACAAATATGGTAAGGAGGAAAAATCAGAACAACTTCCATGGTGTTAGACTAGAACTGTTAGTATCAGTATAACTTCATTGTTTTCAATATGGGTGTGGAGGTACATTACCATACTCAAACGTATGGAAGTAACATTCATATTTCTTAGCTCCCAAAGAAAGGGCTGGGAGCTGTGACACCTAGCAACAGGTTTTCATTTCTAAATTTCTCTACTAAAAGGAATTAGTGTGCTTTTTAGAAAAGTGGTTTGATTCCAAAATTAGAATAGGGATGGTAAAGCCTGAAATATCTTTTGGTGCCAGAAAGTATGGATATATTTAGAGATTTATGTTAAGAACATGTCAAAAGGATAGAGATATCAGCTTACATGGGATACTACTGGTCAAACTGAGAACTGAGCACCAAAATAAATAATAATGTTAGCAAGTTATAATCCACTGAGAAAAAAAAAAAAAACAGGAGTTACTATCAAATACACAAATTGGAAGTTTGATAAGAAATGGTAACTTTAAAATATTTCCCCACAGGGGCTGGGATTGTGGCTAAGCAGTGGAACCGCATAAAAATAAAGGCATTGTGTTGTGTCCATCTACACCTAAAAATAAATATTTTTTAAAAATTTCCCCACAAAATATTAATAAAGCATGGAAAAATATAAAACTTTCTAAGACAAGTCTGGCAGATATCACCTTAATCAAATGATCAGAACATCATTATAAATCACCAACTGAACAAACTCAAATCCTATGATAAGAATACACTAACATTTTTACGATTCTTACAAAGATGTGTGATCTGAATATAATTGTGAAGAAGCATCAGGGGGAAAAAAACAATAATTGGGAACAAAATAACTGGCCTATAATCTTTAAAAGTGTCAAGTTTTTGCCAGGCATGATGGCACACACCTGTAATTCCAGCTATTCAGGAGGCTGAAGCAGGAGGATCACAAGTTCAAGGCCTGCTGGGGCAATTGAGACCCTTCCTGTCTCAAAATAAAAAGAGGGGCGCGGGTTGCAGCTCAGTGGTAGAGTGTTGCCTAGCACATATGAGGTACTGGGTTCGATCTTCAGCACCACATAAAAATAAATAAATACAAGTATTTACATTTACAATTAAAAATATTTTTAAAAAGTAACAAAAAATTTAAAAGGGCTGGAGATGTAGCTCAGAGGTAAAAGGCTCCTTGGGTTCCATCTCTAATATCACCTCCCCCCCCCACACACACACACACACAAAGAAAGGAAAAGGAAAAAAAGTGTGAAGGCTTACATAAAATTCAAGGACAGACTGAGGAACTGCTCCAAGCTGAAAGTAACTGAGACAAAACAACTAAATGTAACATGTGATTCTAAATTAGATTCTTTTGCTTATAAAGGACATTATTAGAACAACTGGTGAAACTTGAATGGAGTCTAAGGATTAGGTGGTATTAATGCATCAGTGTTGGGCTGGGGTTGTGGCTTAGTGGTAGAGTGCTTGCCTGGCATGTGTGAGGCACTGGGTTCGATTCTCAATACCACATATAAATAAATAAATTAAATGCATCTGTGTTGATTTCCTCATGCTAACACTTCCAATGTTAATAGCTATATTCAGCATATATGAAAAATTCCCTTGTTTGCAGGAAATAATGATAAAGCATTCATTAAAAAAAGGTTCTTTGTACAGTAAAACAGTAGGTAAAATACTTGCATATTCAGGATTTTAAAATCTTAGCTCTTTTATTACTTATACAGTCACATTTTCTAAATTATGTATGACTGAATAAGTACGAACCTGAGAGAATTTTAAAAATTTCACTCTTCCTATGTAATTCATACAAGCCAAACCACAAGAAACAGATTTAAACTCTTAAACTTTATTGTTGCTGAAACACTACTTAGGAATCTGTCCTCCTTAAGTCATATTTCCTTCTCCTTCAAGACGTGAAACAATTATAAAAAATTACCATCTATTTGCTAAAGGAAGTGGTTATTTGCATGTTCTGCAATTGAAGTAAAAAGTAGAATTAACCTCTATAATCAGGAAGACCTCTTTTTTCCCACTTAGCATAAAATGAAAACATTACACACACACACAAACATGTTTACAGGATTAACTCCTGAGTCACTGCTGAAATAACTACTGAGCCCTCGAATGCATAAGATACTATGTTTGGAACATGAACAAGGATAAAACAATCCATGATCTCAAGGAACTTACAGTCTGCTGGAAAATACAATCACTTTCCAGGTAGCACATTGTTTAGCCTCTAATATCTTTGCTTATTAGAATTGTATTCATTCTTCTGGGCTATAGGGAAATGTCACCTTCTCCACCTATGTTGCTCATGATAAGAGAATCTTTCCTTTCTTAAACTCAAATATTCTATCACTCAGATACTATATAAATACACATGCCGGGTACCAGGCATTGTCTTAAGCCTTAGGGACAATTTTGGGCAACTGTTATAGTTCTAGATCATCAATAAAAATACATTTCTAGTCTTACTTCTCAATATACTTTTTAAAGTATGGAATGCTTCACAAATTTGTGTGTCATCCTTTCACAGGGGCCATGCTAATCTTCTCTATCTCATTACAATTTAAGTATATGTGCTGCCCAAGTAAGCACTTTCCCAATATTCTCTTGCATGAACCATGATGAACCATGACGTTTCAGTTACACTGTGCTTACTGCTCACATGAATCATAATTCCCAGCTTTTGCTCAAATTGTTTCCACAGATGAAATGCTTGAGCCCAACTCTGTGCAAATAATAAAAGCTAAATCTATGAGCACTGACAATGTTTATTGCCAATTATAAACTTCAAGCTTTTAGATAAACAATGGAATTTTGGAAGACATGTATTTATCAACCACCATGACCTTGACAGATTCTGAAAGTTTGAAGCAATATCAACAAATATGACTTTTTATGTCATAAAACAAAATATGTCAAATATTTATGTCAGATCTATATAACTCAGTGAAAAAACAGTATTCCTAAATGATCAATGCATGTTACAAAATCATACAGAGGGTGAATGAGCTGTTCAAATTGCTAAACCAAAGGATTTGAATAACAGTATTTTCATATATCAATTTCATTTGTATAGTTTCAGCTTCTACACTGCAATTAATGTTTAAAAAACTATCACTTGAGTTTTGGTGAAATACCAAAGAAGAATATTCACAATTCTCTTAAGAGACTAGTAAAGCATTACTTCCTTTTCTAACTACATACCTGTATGAGGCTATATTTTCATGTACTTCAATCAAAACAACATATAACAGATTAAATATAGAAACAGATATGAGAATCCAGATATCTTC